TTAAAAATAATTATAAACAAATATAACAAAGCTCCATTTAATTTTTTTTAATTATATAAACAAAGCTAAAAATAATTATATAATATATATTATATAAAAAAATATATTTAAATATAAAATATATATTATTATTTTTTTAAAAAATTAAAATTAAACTAATTAAAAATCAAATTTTTTAAAGAAATTAAAAAATAAATATTTAAAAAACTAAATATTTATTATATAGAAGTTTGATATTATTTTTATAATTATTTAATTCTCTCTTTTAACTCTTGTTTATATTTATCATCTAATTAAATATTTTGCTAAAATTAACTTGCTAAAATTATATTTGTAATTATTTTGATTTATTAGTAACCAAAATTATTTTTTGAAATTATTTGAATTTTACAAATCAAAACAAGTATTTCTAAATGATTTTTAAATATTTATTAATATAAGTAATATATAATTATTAAATTTTACTTTTTTAAAAATGAAAATTATAAAATGATTTAACTATATTTAAATATTTTATTTTGTAAAAAATTAAAAAAAAATCTTTGTGCTATTTTTAAATACTTTCTTGATTATTAAAAAATAAAATATTAAAAAGCTTTGAATTATAAAGAAAAAAATATTTTTTTCAGTAAATTAATCAAAATTAAAGATTTAAAAAAAATTGAATTATATAATATTTATATTAATTAATTTATATTATATATACATATATATTATTTATTAAAATTATATTAACAAGAAATTTTTGAATTTATATGTTAATAGTATTTTTATATATTAAATAAACTATAATTTTATTTGAAGTTTTTTTTATTAATTAAGTAATTAGTTGATAAATATAAACAAGAGTTAAAAGAGAGAATTAAATAATTATAAAAATAATATCTAAGTTCTGTATTAATTTCTACTGAAATTATTATAATTTAATAAAAGGAAAAGAATAAAGTAATAAAATTTCAATTAGGTATTATATTTTGTTTAAATTTTTTAGATTAAGTTATTTTAATTACAATAACAATCAAAAATAATATAATAATATTAAAATTTATTAATTAAATATAGTAAAATATAAATTTTTCTCTTTATATAAAAGTTTTTAATTTTACTAATTAAAATAAAAATAATATTATATATATTAAAATATATGATATTATCTTTATTTTAATATAAAAATAAAAAATATTTATTAGTAAAATCAAAAACTTTTATATAAAAAAATTTATATTTTATTATATTTAATTAATAAATTTTGATATCATTGCATTATTTCTGATTGCCAATATATATATAAAGTTAATTATTTTTTATAATTAAAATATATAAAAAATAATTAACTTTATATATAATTAAAATAATTTAATCAGATTAAATCTAAAAATTTATTAGTAGAATTGAAAACTTCTTTATAATAAAAAAACCTGTATTTTACTATATTTAATTAATAAATTTTAATAATATTATATTATTTTTATTGTTACTATATATTTATTGTATTTTATTTTATTTTAATTATTATAATATGCTTATAAAGTATTTTTTATATAAACTCAATTTAAATTTAATGTTTATTATTTAATAATAAATTTTTTAAAATTATATTATAAATTTTAATTAATTATATATTTATATTATATAATTAGTTAATTTAAATAATATATTTTTATTTGTTATAGTTTAATTTTTTAATATACAACTATTTAAATTTTTTATTTATTTCAAAGTAATAATTTTTTTTGTTAAATATTTATAATAATATTCTTTTATTAACTCTAATAATTTTATAGTATTATTTCTAAGTTTTGATCTTTAAAAAAGTAAAAACTTATTATAAATATACACATTTTATAGAGATTTTATTGGACTTATATTTTAACTTTGATATACCATGAATTATTGCTTAAAAATATACACAAAATTTAGTTGAAATTCAACAGTTTTAGATAATTTTTTTATCGAATTTTATCTAACTTCATTCTTAAACAAATGCTATAAAAGAATTTAATCCTGTAGTTTATCAAAATACCCAAATATTTCTATCAAATTTCTGCTTTTAGTCCAAAAACTAGTCTTTTTAAGTTGAATTTTATTGAGTATTTTCGAGTTAGTACTCATTCTACAAATTTTCATTTGACTAATAATTAAATTGAATCTTCTCTGATTGCGATTCTTTACTCTAAAATTGACTCGCTTCTAAATTGTTATTTCTTCTAATTTAGATTGAAGTAAAGAATTACTCTGGAATAGTCATTTGCAATGAATTATTAATCCTTTATACAAATTCAATTTTAAACTCTCCCAATTTGTTTATTCTTTTAATACAATTTAATGTATTAATTTTCATACACTAAAATTCTATGCATCAAATTACTTAACGTTAATATTATTAACGTTGACTTTCGCATAATGAGATTTATATCGATAGTGTTATTCTTGATTTTAATTTAACCTTATCATTAACTTTATCTTTATCAAGTGGTTTTCAATTAATAAGCCTTTTTCGATTGGATGATGTTATCGCTATTGATTGATCTTTTCATGCCATATCAAAAATAAATCGAGACGTGTTTCACAATATGATGCATAAAGTTCACGCCGCCATTGAACAAAGAAATTCCTCGTGCTTATGTGATACCATACAGAAAGCTAACTAGAAATCTGATAAGCTTAGTTCTTGGCACACTTATAAAAGAATTTCGTTCTTATATATATCGTCTTTTCTCGATCTCTATTCTTTAATAAAATAAGAGTTATCAAATATGGTTGATCATGGTCAGTATAATTGAACTGTTAAATGAACGCAGGGTAAATAATAAATAAATTACTGAATTTCATTATCATAGAGGAATTCGTTAAATCTTATGATCGTAGTGTCGGTGAAGCACATCATGGCGAAGTATACAAGTTACCATATGAATCTGTCGCTGACGCTGCAGCATTTGCCGCTTTTAGAGCATTTGAGAAAAAACAAATGAAGGAGGGTAAACAAGTCGAGCATGCTTTAGCTAAAGAAGTACGTAATACATTTATTTATCAATTAGCATCATTTATGATCTACGTACCATTAATGTTATACGTATACATGTACATGTACGTAGTTGATTGCTGGTCTTGTTGCTGTTGAAACAATTAAATTAATTAAAACCAAAAGATTGGATTTTATTGATAAAAACAAAGCCTTATATCAAGCAAGGAAAGCAGCACACAAATTATACGACGGTGAGGAGGCAATTATTTTTTTTGTTGAATAAAACATGCATGTGACAAAATTTAATCTTATCGTTATCGTTTTGTCTTATTTAATAGAGCAATATGGACATGAAACTGAAGATTAATTTATTGACATTTTAAATATGATTCGATGAATTATATTGTCGGATCTGCGCTTTTGGCCTGTGTAATTTTTACAAGTGAATTTTCTCGGGTATATTGACGCATCGATGTATAAAATATAAGCCTTGAGAAATTTAAAAGTAAAATTATATCCTCGGTGAAAGTAATAACGGTACAACTTTTACCATATAATCAGTTTTCCAAAAAATGCTTGTATGAAAAAATACACGGTGTTCTGTGCATCACTGATCCAAAATGTATTTGTAATGTTTTAAAGGTTGTTCATGTAATACATACGTATTCTGATTCGTACAAAATTTTGGTAATTGTGACTTGTGGTCGATTGTAAGATTTATCACTTTAGCTGGTCATTTTATTATGTCAACAAGCTTTCATCGACTAAGAAGAAATGGTCAGCTAAAAATATTGCATTAGAAACTATAAATACTGATTAGAAAAGTAAAAATAATTAGTATGGAATTATATAAAGTTTTTGAGACAAAAATCACTACTTACCGTTACGTACTGTTTTTAGCATTTCCATCTGCATTCAAGCCTAGATTGACATAGAAGGAAAATACTCTGTCTTAATCTTTTGAGGGTACAATGTCTTACTCAGGGGCATTTCGAAGTAAAATTATTCAATAGTTATTTATTAAAAATTTCCTCTTTTCCAAAAAAAAATCACACCGCTATTACCTTCGCCGGGGACTGTATCTTCAAAAGGCATTGAATCATTGAAAAAAATTACTCTATCAACAAACAATTTTATAATCAACCTTATTAAAGAACAATATGTCAATAAAAGCGAGAAAGGAAGTCTTACACAATAAGTAGCGATATGGAAAAATAATTTGCTTATAAAACTACAGGATTAATGAACGTCGAAAATCAAGTCAGTTTTGATTTTTACTCGAATTTAGAAAGTTTTCAAGCAATATCAGTCAGAAAAGCCATTAACATTCATAGTTATAATAAATGATAATGATAACATGTCAGACAGAATGCAAGTTGTTTTGCCATATGTGTAAATTAAAGGTTTATAACTCGTCCCCGGTTAAAAGGACATGCCTTGTTAGAGCGCATAGACTTTCCAGTTTCTATTTCATAGTGGTAACAGTAGCCAACCATTAATGAATAAGCACAAATCCTAACTTTCAAAGATATAATTGAATGCGCCGAAGCTATCTTTTAATGCTTGAATTTTGTAATATAGTGGAAGTTAGAATGAATAAATATATTTAATTTTCGCCCATTAACAATAATATTAACAAATGTACATTATTAATAGTAAATAGTGCTAATAAACGTAATAAGCGACAATCTCGTAAATGTATGTGATAGCGAAAATCATTGAATACTAATAAACGTAAATAATAACGATAACGATAAGTATATACGTAAACACAGAGAAGTTGATAACGAGGAACCACTTTTGGTCCGATTCCGTGACTAACAGATTAAAATTTTTAATTATCGCTATTATTAATTTAATTTAATAAAGTATAAAGTAAAAGTAGTTACTATTTTCTTCTAACAAAGCGACGCATTTTTTTTTGACACTCATATTTTATTGTGGTTCTTCATCGTGAATTTATAGTTTCTTGCAAGCCACTCAATATCTCCTCATTCTCAAGTGGTGTTCTTAAATCGAAATCTGTTTTGCACCACCAAAGAAAAAAGATACTGAATTAAGGAAAATAATAAAAAAATAATATTTAATCTAATTTTACCTTTATTCGGAACATACAATCTGACACTTGAAAAGTCTAAACATTCGAAATAAGTTTAATTAATATGAAGTGTCAATATATTTATATTAGAAATAAAATGCACACGTTATCAGTTGGGACTGAAGTTAATTTTATAGTAAATATTCGACTACATTTATAGGTATGCTTTTTGCAATTACATCTCCTCATCAAGTTCTTTTAATTTTTGACTTCCTAATTCAAGACACTCAAGAATTTCTTCGTCTGCTTTAGGACATTCTAAAGAGCTATGCAGCGTATTCAGTTTCTAGTTACGTTCTGTATGATATGAGTGATAAAGTTATAAACTTGCAAAGCAGTTGGTATATTTTCTGGAATAGGATCACAACATTTTTCAATAATAATTTGCAGCATTCAGAAACATGATTTTGGTATCTGCCTTTATGGATGCCTAATACAAAATGTATATCATGACTCTGCTACGACCTCGTACATAATCATCACAAAACTAGAAGTATCTGTAGCTTGTGTGTATGGTTTTCCTGGACTAATACATGTATAAGGAAGTACTCCATAAATTTTAATTAGATTTTCCTACATTTGCTGGGTGACAATACTAGGACTCCGAGTGCCATCTATTAATATATTTCCCCGGGTGACGATGCACATATCCCTCTTGGTGAATTTTGTCAAATCTGAGAGATCCAATATAAATTTCTTAATGTTTGTTCCCAAATCAATTTTTCGTAGTTAACTTTAATACATTGTTATTTCTTGCATAATTCATTACTATCGAGTATTTATTTATAGCTGGATTTTTGGTTATTCTATGATATTTAAATTTATTGGTGCAATTTAGTCAGAATTTATTTTTGAAAAACTTGATTATTAGAAACATAAAGGTACAACCAGATTGCTTCATAAATTGATTTAAACCTCCTTTTGCAAGATATTTAACATTTGTAAATCTTTCAAAAGGCATTCATTCAAAAAATTTCATATTTATTGCATTCTTCTATTAAATTGTCGATATCTTTATTTCTGCTAGACCATTCATCTTTTGTGACAATATAAACAGTACTCATTTTTTTGACATTTTGTACATTTACTATGAAAAATGACACAGAAATAGAGGTACGATCCGAATTGATCCGGTTATCTGAGCATTACTAAAGCTCGCATACAGTAACGGCAATAAAAATTATAACATTTAAAGCGCAGCGGTAGCGTTAACGTTAGGTTTTTGAAATTAAAACCAATCGAATTTTTATTATGTAGGTTTTTGAGAAATGCGCAACTGAAATCAAATTTAATTATCAAATTTCCAAGCATTAAAACCTAAGCTTTAAGATGATAAATTTTAGGGTTTTTTTATAAAATAGTGCTATCGTTGTAACGTGACACGCCAGATTTAATAGTAGGGGACTGAAAATATAACCTTAAATATTTTAGGACCCGTTACCCTCTTAGTCAGTGTTGTCACGTTATTATGTCCAGTAACTAGAAGTTACTGGACTGGACTTATAAAATTACTAAGTCCAGTGGTCCAGTGAAGCAGTATTGGACTATATGGTCCAGTTGACAATACTGCTCTCAATATATGTTGACCATGGCGCTATAACGCACTGCGATAAATATGAAAATCTAAATTTTATCGTAATATTTTTATTATTGAGTTTTGAGTAATGTAAACAAATGTCAGATACTTTTGTTAGGGAGATTAAGTATCACTTTGACAAATGGCTGGTACAGTTGGCCCTGGTCTGGCCTATAACAGCTTTTCAATTTTCATAAAACAATTAGTGCTGTGGCTCAATTCATTAAGTTCTCAATGCGAATAACTTTATTAAAACGTAATATTTATTGTAGCAATAAATAAAGTTGGAAAAATTAAAATGAATAATATTTGATAAAAATGAATAATATTTGATAAAGTACAAATTTTTAGGCACTATGTCAAAGAACAACCTAATGGAAAATCCAATGGACAAAACCTGCTTTTCCAGATTATTGAGCTGAAATTGGAGCCGTTTACTAAATGGACTAACTTGGACCACAACTAGCCACGACCTTACTAAGCCGCCGGCATCACTAAGTTTGACCCACGCGAATTGTCCCACAATTATAATAAAATTCTAAATTATTGAATAATCCCGAGTCTAATTCGTTGTTTTCAAATAAATTACAACTTATTGAGCACAGAAATTTATTTCACTGTAAAACTTGTTTTTATAGTTTTTTTTTAGTGTAGGGAATAAGAAGACGGAAAAAATCGAGCTACAAAAATCAAAAACGACCCATAAAAGAGAGCGAAAGTGCACCATTGGCGAAATCCCCAATAGTAAATTTCATCTAATTCACAAGCCTCATCAAAAATGTCGCCATCTTCCGCGTTGTAAGTTTTATTACTAGCTACAATGCTAGATTCAAGGAATGTAGGCTGGCTGTTCTTCTCTATATCAACGAAGGTATCATTAACAAGAATGTAATGATTTTGATCATAATTAGAATTCATGTAATTTTCAATGACGGTTTTTATATTGTGAATAGAATTATCGTTATGTTCATTTACAGTAAAGCGAAATCTAACAATTGATGTTGATTTGAGAAACGGCTCAATACTTCGAAACGTTTCGAGGATTTCGAGGATTCGTGGGTTTTCACTTATCCTTAAGATAACTTGCAATATTTTATTGTTTTTATTCTCGTTTTTTAGTTCGAGAAGCTGTGTATGAGCTTCACAGTTGAGGTTAAAATTCAATTTAATTGCGTCACTACTCATGATTATCAAAAATTTAATTATTTTTGCGAGGTAAATAAAGTTTCAAGGCTTTTGCTATAAGCGATAAGCGATAATGATGAATAAATTTTTTCTGAGAGCTGTCTTATATATTAAAATTGTACAAATCTACAGTCAACTAAAATGCCTTTAAAATACGTAAGCAATAAATTTATCTGTGCCTTTGGTGGTAACAAAATTATATTAAGTACACATTTGTCTCTAATTAAGGTTATTTGTGTAAAGGTTCGTTGGTCAAAGAAAGGTAACAATAAGTCCAGTTTCCTACGGAAAATTAAAATGCTTACGGGAAAACTTATTTACGGGTGCTCATTTATCTAGAATTTTAAAAAACTTGTACATGAAAATTGAAAATGCGCGTGGAAGTATACAAAATACAGGAGAATTCAAATAATTAGTTTCATAAATTAGAAATATTAAAAATTTCAAGAGATGCATTTTTCATTTAAAGAAACAGATTGAGCTCTGTGTGTGTGTGAAATCACGGATAAATGTTTTTGAAAAAATTTCAAGTTCTTATTATTCAGTTGTTGAAAACTAAAAATATAAACATAACACATTAACATATCTCTGTGTGGATGCTTACAAGTAGCGACCGGCTATCTTGTTAAGAGCTTTAGAAAGTAGTTTTTGTTTGTTCGTTAGATTTTCTATCAGGAACACAGTATCTAATATGCATAAATGTTTTACAAAGCAACACTGTACATGTAATTACAGTACATGTATCTATAACGATAACGATAAATCGTCGAGCATGAAGACAAAGACCGGCCAGCATGAACCAAATTGCTGTGTATTCCAAAAAGAGAAAAAATTACATGTACATGTGATTTCAATCCATGCGCATTGATAAATTAGTGTTTATTGATAATTTTCTGAGCGGGGACAATAACCGTCGACATAACGGACGGGTTCGGTTCCTTAGCGAAAAATTCAAAAACCTGTTATATCAGCGGTGATTTATCATAAACCGTTTTGGACTTCAATCCATTATATCGACGATTAATTAGTATTCGTTATGTTGACGTTCACTGTGTACATGTATATGCTGTAAACTAAGAAAATTGCATGCATGAAAAATAGGAATTTTTTATGTTAGACTTAAATTAACTAACTATTATTTAATACAATAACATAAATTTTGTTCTTTGTTTGAGAAGATATCCAGGAGTGACTGCTTCTACGATTTATTCTTAGACTAACCATTAGCCCTACTTGTGAAAGAGCCTTTACTTTCTTCTTTATTTTGATAATGAGTAATATTTTTAGAATTCAATTATTGATAATGATCAAATAAATACTGAAAATTTATTACAAATAGTCTAATTCTCGTATTTTCTATTACTTAAAAGCTCTTTGACTCGTTATAAAAAAACAAATCACAAAATAATTCGGAAATGGCGGCAAGTTTTTTTATTATATTTCATTTAGTTGTACAGTTGAACCTCGATATAACGAAACTCGGGAGCTGGTGGTTGAGTTTCGATATATCAAGGTGTCCAGTATATCGAATTTTCTGGGTACAACGAATATTCGGTATATCAAATATATAACGAATTCCAGTATATCGAATACCTTTATATAGCGAATTCCGGTATATCAAATTATATGGCGAACCACAATTCAATCGCCGTTTTGCCAACACACATTTATAATTCGGCGGCGATAACGATAACAATAAAATGTCATCCACGACTATCACTGTGATTCTTGCAGTGATAACTGCACTTTGCGCATATTATTACAATGATATAAAATATACTCTCAAATTGATAAGATATTTTCGTAAACCCCTTTCCCCAACACAACATTTCTCCCGAAGCCATATCCCCATATCCTCGACAACCTATTTCAGCGACCACCCATATCTCCGACATAACATATCCAACATAACATATCCAACATGACATTGCATCGACATAATATTTCCCCGACATAACATTTTCCTGACAAATTTAGCTTGGTGTACTAAGCAAAAATATTGGTGAGGACCTTTATATATAATCTTAACTCTAATTCTAACCCTAACCTGTTAATTCCATGCAAAACCAGCCAGTTAATACATTATATCACAATATCTCTTGTCAGGGAAATCTCCATTCGGGGAACATCATGTCGAGTAAATGAGTTCGGATAAATTAATATAGCAACACGTTAGACTAGAAATTCTGAGTTTACATTAGGTTTACCAGTAGGCACCTCTAGACTATATTTACAACAGAAGAATAGCTCTTCGTCACTTACTACAAACACTCGATTAGATAACATATATGTATTTATATCTAAACCGGATTTCTCCTTAACTTCGATAAGACATTACGTCGGGATATCTTTCTAGTCTAAATTTATAGTTCGGATTAGACTTACGGTTACGACCCATTTCAAACCATTTATGGTATATTTCCTCCTCTTGGATACGTATAACACGGAGCACATTATCAATGCTCTCGGCATCCATACTCTCGAGCAAGTTATTGAATGGACTAGTAGCATTCTTCCGATTGATTCTCCGAACAGTCTGATTATATAGAGTGATAGCTTGTTGATACACGCGGTTCTCATAGGCGCTAGGCTGGTATTCTCCGTTGATATAGTCGTATAGTGAACAACGGTTAGCTTCACGCTCTTCTTGGTCTAAACGCTCATTGAGTATTCCGAACGCTTCTTGAATGGTATATTCCTTAGAACCGATAACCCATCGATAGTCTTCCATGACCGAACCGATAACTAAACCGATACACTAGAATATATGATATGGAATAACTAATGAATGCAATATCCAATAGTCGTGACCAAATAGCAACAGCGACAGGTCCAAGTAGCCAAAGTATGTGAAGGTTCAAGTCGATAATACAAAGCAGTCTCATCACAATTAAAAACATCATCTGGAATATATATAGCTTTGAATAATATTTTGAATTGTTATTCAATGGCCTGGCAAATCGGCTAATGATGCACTATCAGATTCTCCATTCTTTAATTCCATATCAAATTTTGAAATTGGCTAACCAACCATTTGGTACTGTAAATTCTGAGATATTCAACAACTTTGCAAACTTTTTTGAAGAAAATAACCCGTTAATGTTTGTTTGTTTTCGATAACATATTGTGCTCATAATGCTACTGCTAGTGCTCCTATCGAACTGAACTGAACTGAACTTTAGGTCGAGTTCGGGTTCAGTTCGAAATCTGAACCGAACCCGAACAGGGGTTTTACATTTTTTTCGAATCGAACCCGATCCCGAACTCGCAATTTCCGAACCCGAACATCGTTATGGGTTCAGTTCGAAGTTCATGAACAAGTTCGGGTTTGGTAGGGTTAATTTTGAAAGCCGGAGCATTCTAATGATTTTGCAGCAAAGATATTGTTTGATTCTAAGTACGTATAATTTAGGAATCCAAATTTGATGTCAAAATATTTGAAACATGATATTTATATTAATAAAATTAATATTTATTATACAAAAATCTAACCATTTTTAAATTGTCACATAGTTATCCAACTTTCCTTTTAATGGTCCCTGCATTCATGATTGGAGACACTGCTGCTCTTATGGTCTTAGGCATCAAGCTAGATCTCTTATTTGTAATCATGCTTCCACCAGCAGAGAAGGCACGTTCAGAAGCAACAGAGGATGTTGGAATTGCCAGATAATCACGTGCCATACGGACAAGACGAGGAAACTGTGTTTGATGTGCCTAAATATCATATTACTCAATTTTAAATCATTATTTTTAATAAACAACTATTATTATTTACCTTCCACCATGCTAGCACATTGATTTCTCTATTGGTCAGCTTCTCAGAGATATAATGTTCGATTTCATTAAGCTCTTCTTCTTCATTATCAAAATTTGCATCCAGCATGGAATATGTAACTGATCTTATAGTATCATTAAGATTGGTGTCTGATAAAAAGCTGTTATTCGATGTAAAAGTGTTGGTTAATGCATATTCCATTTCAAAAAGAGTGCGCATTATAAGAGATTAATTATTATAAGAGTTAGAAAATAAAATAAAATATTCAAAATAAAATAACTTACAATTCTTTTGTTTATCAATTTCATCATCTGGAAATTCCTTCTTTATGAAATAATGAAATTTTCTTCTCGAATTCAATGAGGTATATAACATCATAGTTATATTTGTTTTAGAGTAATACTGAACTAACTTTTATTTTGCTGCTATAGCTGCTGCTGTAACAAGTGGTGAAACTAATAATCATAAAGAGCTAGAATATGCTTTTTCAAATTAGTTTATTTCAAAAATCAAAAGAAAAAAATAAAAAAAACTTGTCCTTTGAAATATTTCTTCGATTATACCATATTTTTTGTGTGCTTTTTGTCTTTTTCTATGATATTCTTTTGTCATAATATATAATATTCAGTATGCATTCTCTAATGACATTATAATGATTTGGTCATACCTCCAGTTCCACAAGAAAATGCTTTATGTTTATAGTTTGAGACTGAACATTTAGCTGTTTTCAGTTCCTTTGTTCACTCAACCTTATTGAAATAATCCCACACCTCACTCTTATATTTATGTTTGCCAGAGATTTCAATACTCTGACTATTGGAGCTGTTCAGATTATTATCATTATTATTTGATATTTCTGGTATAAAATTGGTAATGTCAAATGATACAGATAATGAATTCATTTTTAGTACATGTCAATTGAAAATTTTATATTGAACATGGTAACTATTTATTGCATTTTCTTTAAACTAACTGATTCTAGCAATCAAACAGGTTAATTAAATGAGCTATACAGTGAACATTATATATTTTGCATCACGTAAATAAAAAAACGATAATGGTAATATTTCATTATTAACATGTGCAAATAAATAATATACAAAAAGGGAAACTAGAAGTTCTTTGAACGTGAAATTCATTTAATTATTATTTTTGGAAAAAATATAATATTTTAGTGATGCGTTTGTTTTGTTCAAAAGTAAATTCATAAAACATTTACAAATTTTATAACAAATCACAACCCGAATAATTTATAAAAGTTATTTCTATTAGTATAGTTTTTCAATTTATTTTAATAAACATATCGCTAAATCAATATGGATCATATCACTATCGAACAAAAATTTATCCAAGATGCATGTGTAATAAAACAAAATATAAACTCAGATTAGAAATATCAATTATACGCTATAATAGCTGTCTAGAATATTAAGGAATATTGTCTTCTTCACTTTCACTGCTATCCGAGTCCGGACAATCTTTATACTCGTATTCGCTTGGAAGTTCATAATAAACCACTAAAACACAATGAAAATAGATTAATCATAGCTCTTGTTATCTAACATAAAGCCTATACTTACGAAAATATTTCAAACCTTTCCCAAAATTTTTGTGACACATAATCGTGTTGATAAATGTTAATATTGCTGTAATGAGAAATAAGCAAGCTATAAACTCAAAAAAAGAATTTTAAATATCCGAATTAAAATAAATAACTAAAGACAATTATTGCGAACGTCTTACGTGGAATTACGTCAACCCATAATAATGTGATTCGATTCAGAATATTGAACTTTTTATAGTGATAACAGTAAATGTAAGTCATCAAGGCAACATAAAAATAAAAAAAGTTCAAGGCAAAAAATAGAAAATAGAAAAAATAAAACAAATATATCTTCTTTGATTCTTCGAAAATCTAATAAAAATGATAGAAAATTAGGTCTAAACAAAAAAGAATGCAACATACATACGAAAGTTTAAAAACCCACATACAGCTTTTTTGATAAGAAAAAACGTTACGACTAGTAAAATTATCATAAAGAGCATAATGGTCTCAATAATAGTAGTAATAACATCTTTCGATATATAACTCGTTAATCGAATTGTTGTCAATCCGAAGAAAATCAAATTGGCGTGAGACAAAAGAGCTTCTCTTTGATATGATTTATATAGCGCTATAAGATTTTTTAGAAGAGTTGATTGAAAACGAGGAAGTAAAATAACATAATTTGTTTACGGAAAATAAACTTACATTGGAGTGTTTTATTTTTTATACCCTTTAAATAATGCTCGAAATGCCAAATTCTGGAATCAAGAAAATAATCATAAGCATTTGTAAGCGATTGATACTAAAGATGACAAGAATTACCCTTTCAGCCACCACCTTACAAAAGAAAGACAGAAAGATAAATTCAAAAGAATAAGAATTCCGAAAATAATACGATCCAACTTAGAAATTATTTTATCACCTGGAGTTTGAGTTAAACTTCATTAATTTCAGAAATAAAATATCAAAAATTTTGAAATTCTCATACTTTCCATACATTTTAAAATTCTTATAATTCTTATATATTCCGTACAATCTTGATACGTGTGAATAAGCAAAACAAAAGACAGCAAAGAAAACAACTGCACGAAAAAAAAAAGACAAGCATGTCTTAAACTTTTTGAGTATAACTTTTAAGAAATAAGATAATTTTAGATAAAGTGTAAGTATTCATTTAGAAAAAATTGATTTTATGATGTTATATTAACTTACAGTTAAAAGTCCTGAGGTAAAAATAAGCAAAGAAACCAAGACAAAATATATATTATAATTATAATTATAATTATAACTTGGAAAATAATATATATTTGAAATTTGAAAACTTTGGCTTTGTCCAGAAATAGAAATTACAACTAAATTAAGAATTAATAGAAGAAGAAAAATTCTTTCACTCAAACTGAACGAAAAAAACCAAGTCTTAATTTCTTCAATGTCTTTTAAAATTTTATAACCCATTTTTCAAATCGATTATTTTATATATAATTGCAAATTTATCCTGCGATTCGCTTAAAAAGAAATATATTGCGGAATACGTACACAGTGACTCTCTTTATACTGTATCAAAAAATTTATTAGTAAACATTTTCAAACTTCATTATATCGAGAGTTTGTAGTAAACCTACTATATTGAACAGAATTTATTATAGCTGACATCCATTATATCGAAAAGCGTGTCTGTGTATATAAATTCCCACTAACCTCATATTTATACTAACCTCATATTTATACTAACCTTTGCACAGTTTTTAAACGAGATATAAGCCTCACGGGCTGTTTTGGGCATTGCATGGGCGCAAGAAATACACTTCATGATCAACGCATCCACGGTAACCCTAATCCTTATACGTACTAAACTTTGCTCGTTTTAAGCGAGATATAAGCTTCGCGGACGGTTTTGGGCATTGCAGGGGCGTAAGATATACACTCGTGTTTATGACCGATCAACGTGTGTATTCCCGATTCAGAATTTAAACTCAAACTCTTGCTTAAATATACATGTACGTACATGTATTGTGTTTCACACTATTCCTTATACATGTACTAACAATTACACAGTATTTAAGCGAATATAAGCCTCGCGTGAAGTTTTAAGCATTTATCTCTTCGTGTTCAATGCATGTGCATTCTGATTCAGAATTCAAAAGAGAATCTTGTGAAGTGAATTATAAGATATCCAAGCATTCATAATCAATATATTTGAAAATATTATAATTCTAATGATCCAGTCAATTTTAAATAATAAACCTTCCGAACCAGTATGGTTTAGAGCAATAAGGATTTTTTCAGGATTGATTGCTAGTCTTGGGATTCTAATTTATATTGTGACATCAGCTGTTGAGATCTCTAATGATTCCCATAGTGCCTATAAAGTATATTACGATGAATCGGATTATTCTCATAACTACTCAATATGTAATTTGTTTTTTTACTCTTGCAACGCTCTTTTTATCATATTAATTTTATTCGCCGTCACATTAGATGCTCATATTTGCTTAAGTAAATTAAGCTTTGATAATGGTGAAGTGAATATAAGCAACACGACACAGAACTCTAACTTTTCGATAATTACAAGTCCCTACAGTAACGAACACCTACAATCATCAGGGTGTGTAAATATAGAATTTTGTTCTGTTACATGTTCATTTATGGGGAGATGGTTTAATTTTTCCAACATTGAAACAAATTTAAATGAGCATAAAAATAATCAAGAGCAAAAGATGATTCTATTTGCATTCAACGCTAAAGCTGACTACACTGGCAACATTAATTACCTTGATGAAAAAACTTACGTAAACTCGATCTATGTCGATGTAGGATCGGTAACCCAGTTTGGCTTCAGCCTTAGATTAATTCGAAGAAATAATGATTCTCCAGAATTCGAATTTAAATTCCAAGAAAAATTTTCTGTTGGAGTAAATAATCCATCTTTGGCCTTCGTACAGTTTAAACATGCAACAATCGAACCATTGGTTGAAATAAGATACGAAACAATTGGACTAGGAAGCAACTGTAAAGTATATACATGCTCTCACTCAATATTCTTTTATATTTACTAAATCGTCACTTCTTTTAGTTGTTACTTTGCTTTCAAAGACGGGAGGATTATATGCTTCTGTAACAGGAATATTTGTCGTAATTTTTGGAAGTGAAAAATTATCTCCATGGTAATAATTAATCCCCAAGTATTCTCTTCCATAATTTTATTAAACCTTTTTTCGAATAGGGGAATAGCGCAAACGACTATACTTTGCTGCACTCCATGTCGACGATCTCTCAAGAAGAACTTGGCAAAACGATATGTTTCATCGGCCGGAATTCCATTATCTGAGAAAGTAAGTAAACGGCCAAAAGATTCGTCAATTGAAGCTCGTTTACAAATTCTAGAAACGCTCTTACGAGAATACGTGATAGATACCGCATTGCTCGATAAAGTAAAGAAAACACTAAGAGAAAATCCTAAAAACAAAAGAAATTACGAAAAATCTCTTTTAAAATACGAAAGCGAAATTTATTCATCTGCTATACAAAATAGTTCAGATATTGAATTAGAATAGTAATTTTTTTAATTATTTTGTTTTATTATTCTTTCAAACTCAAAGCTCATTCTCACATAATAATTAATCAATCAAATTAATTATGGAAAATTCTTTATAAGTAATATGGCATCACTTTATAAAAATCCTCGTGTATGGCGTCATAATTCACGAGATACAGAGACATGGCCGATACCCGTACATTTTTCCAACTTTGTGTGCACCTCGATTTTTACCGCTTATACAAAAACTCTTTGAAGTTTTGCACACAATTCCTTCGGTTATTCTATCTATTCATCAATTTTGACTTTTTTAAACATTTCGGTCTTTTTTAAATCGGACAAACTTTCAATAGAAAATTTGAATGCTAAGATTTTTATATATTTTATATCTCGTTTTACGAAAAACAATAATACAATAAAAATGCTGCAAGTAGTCCAAGTACATTATATACAATGAAAAGAGAAAGAATTTATAATTAGTTTATTTTTTCCCGAAACAAAAACTTTGAACAGAAAAATGAAACCAACTTTTATTAATATTCTTTTGTTTTAACCGTATAACGTTTGTTTCTTCTGATGATAATACGTATATATGTTAATTTTTTTTATTATGACTTTTCCCAATATAACCCAATTACTAAAGCTGTTTTTACTTGCAATAAAAAACGTGACATTGCTAATCAAAAATATTTTAACTTCGATTCTTAAAAATTTGGAAGAGTTCATGTGTGAATTTCAAATTTCAACGATAATTTAAAGCAAATTGATAGAGATGACATCTAATTTGTTAAAGGATAGAATAAAGTACATGTATTAGCGTTAGTTGTGGAACGTTAAAATTTATACGCAATTCGGACATTCCGGTACATTTATTTGTTAGCATACAATAACTAATTACTTTTTCACTTTTCTCACGTTTCAAGTTAAATTTTCTCACGTAATTTTCAATTTAGCTGCGCAAAAAAGAAATACATGTAATGGTCTGGATTTTCAATATGCATGCTATTTTTTTGTTTTCTGTTTTTGGAATGTTTTCAATTTTTAATAATAACCACAAATATAAGTGGCTAACTATTCTTTTTTTCAAAAAATTCCAACAACATCGCTCAGGTAATATCGCGCTTTATAATTTCGTTAAAGAAACGAATGCATGTTACGTAGTTAGTCATTACATTTGGTAACATGAAATGCGCAGACGACAAATGCCTTACGTTAATCATGTTATCGCGTTTGTAATGCCATGTACTAAATTCAAAAGTGTTTTTAATGCGTGAATAATATACTTCTACCTATCATCAATATAAGCGGTTTTGTTAAATGTCACTTTAAAAATACATTTATTTTTTTCGTTACCTAGTCATACGAGAAAATCGATCCAGTAACAACCACTACCGCTACGTATAGTGCGAAAGTAAAAACGTTAATTTATTTTGTACGATGTTATTGAAACATTAATATATGCCTTTTTATTAAAAAATACTTAACGTTAATCTTTTTCTTGGCATTATATAATCCGGGTCTAGATCGTCGTCGTTCTTGTAGCTATAGTATATAACATTCGTAGTTTTAGTAAAAATACGTAAACAAAAAACAGTACGTATGCACCCTAATGTACAGAGATAAATTTCGTCATTGCATGGTGATTCATGTCGTGGAATGTTTGGACACTTGATTACACGAAGAACCCAAAATATATAGAGCTCTATGACACGAAGATCTATACGTAAGTTGCATTATATGTATGTGGTCAATTTTCGGATTTGAAAAGTCGATGTTGTGTTGATTTTCTTGCAAAGCCTACTCTTGAAGATAGCAACACACGCGTATAAGAAATTGGATCAGTATATAGACAAATAATAATAAAGTCATCAGACATAAAAGAAGCCATCTGATATTGGTTTTTATTAAGACTGCACTAATAAAATGCATAATTGTTTTCTTGTAAATCTAAATGCAAACAACAAAAAGTTAAAGAATCATAATAGAGAACCTATCGCTATGAGAAGGACAAATTTAGACTACTAATCTAATTAATATAAATGGTGTTAGATCGTTTCCAAAGATAGCTGAACCGAAATCCTTAACTTTATACATGTACAGTATAAAAAAATAAGTATTACTTTAAGACAATTTGTAACCACGTGTAAGTTACACGAATGTATGTTTTAATTGACCCTGCATTGAAACATCTCTTGTCGATATTATTATTATTATCGTTATCATATGGAAGAGTCTAGACCAGCCAGTTGAAATTAATTTCAATATTATAATATTTTCCTGAAGAAAATATATAAACATAGTTAGTCGCCGTTCAAGCAAACATTGTATCTTAAACTTGATTATTAAACGCGTATACAATATATACTTGCACCGTCTTGTAAAAATTCATTTATACCAACTTTGATTCTTCACAAAAAATCATTATGGGAAACGCAATTCGCAAACATAAAAAGCCATCCTCTCGACAATTACCATCATCACCAATATCTTATTGCTATATAAATAACCGTAAATTCTTTAATGATAAGGAAGTAATTTGGCCTAATCCAATTGATGATGTAGAAACCGACAGGCTGGTAATGGAGCACTATGTTATCCGTCATTCATGGCAGGGCAAAAACTTTATCAGTCCAATCGAAAGAGAATTAATATCAGGAGCGGATGTGGTGGATATAGGGTAAATATTTTGAGTGAAGACCAGATTTTGCTTCAATTCTGCTGAATTTGAAATCTAATAATCAATAAAAAATTTAGGTGTGGGCCAGGAACATGGGTACTTGAAGTGTCGACCGAATATCCATGTTCAACGATAACGGGAATCGATTTCTCGACGTTATTTCCCACGGAAATAAAACCCACAAATGCCAAATTTTTCGAGCACAATATCAAAACTGGTTTTCCGTTTGATAGCGAAAGTATCGATTTCGCACATCAAAGGCTGATTGGTTGTGGTATTCTGGCGCAAGATTGGGAGAAACCTATGATCACAGAGTACGCGCGAATACTGAAGATTGGCGGATGGTTAGAAATACTCGAGGGTAGTAACCTCGTAAATCCCGGCCCTAATACGGAATGTCTTTTTAATGCATGTAAGTCTCAATTTTACCAACTACCTTCGTATGTTATGCATTGATTAAAACGCATCTTAATTTGTTTAGTACTATCTTATTACGAATCAATCGGTGTTGATGTCAAAATTACGCAAAAATTAGAACGATATTTAGCAAGTAATGAGTACTTTACAAATGTACACCATGAACTGCAAATAATACCAATAGGAACTTGGGCAGGTCGAGTGGGCGAATTAGTAAGTGTTTGAGCTTAAACTTTTTTATTTTATTGGATACCATGATTATACTTATGAGTACGTATATTTAAAGTTTGTTCTCGTTACACTTTTATTGTAGACGGCCGACAATTTTTTATCTTTATTCGATGCACTCTCATCGTGGCTTTTAGTTTCACTCAACATCACCCTCGAAGAATTCAAATGCCTAATGCGAAAATTCGAAGAAGAAGTGAGTGAGTATAATACACACTGGCAAACCGAACGATTTATAGCGCAGAAATGTACAAAAAAATCATAATAAATACATGTATATTAAACGATCATTTATTATCGTTATTTATTTACACTTACTTAATCCTGTAAATAAATCTTTCCCCACCGGAAATCTATCGTTATCAATTAAATCAATACAAAGAACTATCGTTATTTTTTTTTTCCATGCTGTATTTTTGATTTCGTCATTGGCCATTTGCAGTCTTATGCAGGTACTGTACAGTGTACCAGTACGTACATGTACTTATAATGCAGCAGTATCACATTGTTACATGCTATAGTAGTTTAGAATTTTTATTATCACTATCGCTATGCATAAGGTGTACCAAATAAAGTCGGAATTGGGCTGTGCCAATATTCATAAGTCAGTGATGTTCTGGGAAATTTTTTGAAAATGGAAACTTCCCAAGAATATCACTGTTTCATAATTAAAAGTACGTATAAGACCATTATGTGACGGGTCAACTTTCAAAAAATATTAATTATCCTAATTTTAATAAAGGAAGCGCCATTTTGCTATTTTTTACTTAGCGTTAGTGCACATGCAAATTGCATTTTTCATTAATGACCTTACCCACCTAAAAACAATATAAGTTACAGTATATCGATATCGTAAATAAAATAAAAGTACAAAAGAACGAACCAATCCTCGTCTTTTGTTGATGATTTGGTTGTGTTCCACTTATGGGAAATAGCTTCGGTTTAACTACATATTTGAACAACGCATAATATTTCTCCAGTGTCCTAAATCTGGGGTTTCAGCATACAACAGTTGTGTACTGGAAGTAAAGAGTGGTATTCTCTATTTGTTTGACTTTTGTGCACACAAGAGTCAAAATTGAGTACACGATTCTGGTTTATCAGGTTGAAGGAATTCATAGAGCGAAGTGCACGTTGTACCAAGTGATGTCAACAATTTTGATTTGTTAAAATGCAAAAAGGCATAGTCGTTTTAATTTTCGTGTCATTTCTGTGAATACACATGTACATGTATAATGATTGACGAAACTTTAACATGAACATTAAAACAAACATAATACTTATAGTCTGATATATATATCGATTCTCATTAACTGCGATAATATCACAAGAATAAAGTTGACATTCGGTTACGAGCACTTTTTAGTTTCAGCTGACCGTAAATATAAAAATTCAATATAATGAAAATAAAATTTTCAATTTTATCATGTTTTAATAGTAAATTTTAAAAGTGGTGGATTTCTTTTGTAAGTTACTATAAAACAATTATAGAATAGAAAAAGAGACATTTTATATAACGACACTTTTTTGGTGTGTCCGGCCATGTCTATCCAGAGGCATGTGTACACTATTGAATCAATTATCAATAAAAAGATAGATTTTCAATTAAAATCGTCTTCAGCACCGCTTACGAAGCATTGAATCAAGATAAAAATAGAGAAAAGACATTAACATCAATTACGAACATAACATTGAATCGTTGAAAAAGTATCAGAATATAAACCAAGTAGAAAGTGAATCCACAATTCGAATGACTTACAGTGCAGGGCACTTACCGTAATTTGCCGCATAAACAACTCGGGCGGTCTGTTATTTCACCAGAAACTTTAATCAGTATGAAGGGGGTGGTTGACGCGGCAGTAACCTATGGCGAAAACATTGTTCGGAACGTTAGGAGTAGAGTGCCCAGTTTACTACACATGCAGAATTTGCACTCAAATGTACAAAACCGAGGTCGAGTTATCGTGTCTGAAACTTACGATTTTGTTAAACATGATCACATATTTATTGGTCATGTCACATACCGACATGCAGTATTTGAGAATTTACAAAATCAAATGCAGTAAATTAATACAATGTAGGAGTGCATAACGATAAACAAAGTTAAAGTTTTTTTCATGTTGATTAGCTAGCTAACACTATTTTCAGAGATCGAAAAAAAATAGAATATACTAACGAAATCGGGCCAGGCGGATTTTACCAAAATTGGAAGATTAACGAAATTATCTTTAACCCCCCCCCCGGTAACATTACTTATGCGAAGGGATAAAAGGAGTAACCGCAACACCCACGATCCAAGAATCAAATTCGGAATTTTTGCGAGTTCCATCCCTTATACTCATCCCTACAACGATTAGTAATGAAACTCGAGATCCCTGAATTTTTTCAGCTGAAAGCAAATTCGATTAACAGATTAACGAATTATCACAAGTACGACCCACCACGTGAAATAAGAAATAGCACCAATTGCTATGCAAGTCGCAAATAGAAATTTCTTTATTGGAAAAATCGTACTAAAGAAAATAAACTAAAAAAAATGCTCCGAGCACAGTTTTCATCTATTGCAAAAAATACTGGTTAATTTTGTACAATGCCATTAGCACCGCTTTTCTTCTTCTGGTTCTATGAGATTTAGACCGATTTGTGAACTTAGACACTGAGGGGCTAATGTAGATCGGGTCTGATCCATCTTCACTGAAAAAAATCTTAACGTTCGACCTGGTGGCTATCATGGTACTTTTTGCAACAGCTTAATGGGAAAAGTACTGTGTAAGTAGCTGGTCGGAAGGTGCGTGAGATAGAAAACCTCGCAACGAGACCGAACAACAGACATTTTTACATGAAGCGAGAAATTTGATACGAGATCAGATAATCTATTTTTTATAGATGATCTTCCGCACGTGATTGATATAATTCTCGAATCAATTATGGCAATAATCAACACATTCAATAAAAACTTCATTATTTTTGCAAAGCTCCGATATGGGCAAAATCTTTATTAACGGTGTAAGCTACAATGAATGCCTTAAGAGGAAGTGTCAAAATATTCTTGGAACATTCTGAGCATTGAGCTAGCTCTGAAATTTCTATATCTTTGACAATACTTTTTCTCGTTTCTTCTAGGATATTATATGCAAGGAATTTGAGGCTAGAAAGAGTCATAATGACGACGAATATGCGAAGCATAGAGTCTTTGACTCATATAATCAGGTAACGAGTTTCCCACATATCCTGCCTGTTTTTATAACGCATTAGTCTGTATCAAAGGAACCAAAATTGGCATACAAACCGAAACGCTATGTGGGTCCTAATACTCCATTATCACGCGTCGAAATTAATTATCGGAAAAATGACCTTTTTGGTCTGATGCTTTATTGTTACAAATAAAAATAGTACGGTCGATTGCCGTGAGACTATATCTATAATATCAACATTATAAAAATTACTTATATTCAAATCTAACTTACAGTACTTGTTAAAAGTAACCCACTTTCATAGCTTTTTATAAATCATGTGTAATATACCGAAATTTTCTGAGTGCAAAAAATATTACAAATACTAATTATTAATACTTTTTATAGATTGGTAAAGCTTTTATATTGAATATTATATATTCATGTTCCAAATACAATAAATTAGTCACTTAAAATACAATATTTTAATATTTAGTGATTCAATTTGAGCAAAAATACTATTATTTGATTTATCTAGTTTAAACAAATCAAATAGTAATATTTTTGCTCAAATTGAATTCTTAAATATTAAGATATTATATTCTCAAGTGATAAATTCATATTTATTAATCAAAAATTAATTACAAAAAATAAATTAATCAATTTAGAATATAATATTTCAATTTTTAGTGATCTATTTGAATAAAAGTAATATTATTTAATTTGTTAATCAAGTTTTTGTTATTATAAAATAACTAATTATATTTAAAATATAAAAATTTGTTATAATATGAATATTTAGTTTTTATTTTATTGATTAATTTATATTATAAAATTTAATTAAATGAATACTTTAATTTTATTTAATTTTAATAATTAAAGTTTGAGCTATTATTATTAATTCTTTTATTTTTGTTTAATATACAGATTTATAAAATTAATAATCAAAGTAAAAAAGTAATAAAAGTAATAGAGATTAATAAAAGTAATATAATTAATAATTATAATCAAATAAATTTACAAAATTAGTAATATTAATAACTAAAATAATTAAAATAATAAAAATTAATTATATATTAATTAAATTAGATTTAATAAATTGTATATAAATACAATATATATTTTAGATAAAATTAAATAGATTTTTTAGATTTTAGATTTTTTTACTTAAGATTTAGTTTAAAATTTTAATTTTATCCATATTTTTTAAATAGAATTATAAAATAGAATTATCTTTTGTTATATAACTTGTAAAATATTTTAAGTTATATTTTATATAAGTTTTGATCTTGAAAAATAGATTATTTATAATAATTAATTTTATTATTAATTTATAAGAAATTATTTGAAAAATATATTAGCTTATATTAGAATTTATTGAGATTATAAAATTAAAATAAAGTTATTAAATATTAGTTTAGCTTATTATTATACAAATATATTATCTGTATTTAATTATAATTTTTAGTTTTTTATTATAAAAACTTAGTTTTTTTATTTTTTAATTAATAAAAATATATAAATAACTTAAATTCTATAAAAATAATAATAATATTTAATATTTAATATAAAAATTTTATTAATTTATAATAAAAATATAAAAAATACAAGTTTTTCTCTTATATCAAAATATAATAATCTTTTTATATAAAGATTTTTGTAATATAATAATAAAATAAATTATTAAAAAAATACAAAAATAAAATAATACTTTAAATAGATAAATAAAAATAAATAAATAAATTAAATATATAAATTGATTAATAATAATTTATAATATATATTTTTATAAATTATTTTACTTCTAAAAGATATATAATTAATAATAAAATAGAAAAAAAGATAACTAATTAATAAATATAAAGAATTTAAAAGATTAATAATATAATTATATTTATAAATCAATTAATATTATGCTAATTAATAAATAATCTACTTAATTATAAATAGAATAATAATTTATGTAATAATTTTTAGAATAATCTACAAGAATCTATAATAATCTATATATAATATAATAAATAAGAATCTATATAATTAACATGAATTTTTTATATAAAGTTTATAAATATTTTTTATTTTTATATCAAAATAAAAGATAATATTACATATTTTAATATTTTTTAGATTTAATTTAACAAAACTGTTTTAATTATATATAAAATTAATTATTTTTTTATATATTTTTATTATAAAAATAATTAACTTTATATACAATTAAAATAATTTTAAATTTAAAAAACTAAAAAAATATATATTAAAATATATATTATCTTTATTTTGATATAAAAATAAAAAATATTTATTAATAAAATTGCAAACTTTAATATAAAAAGAAAAACTTGTATTTTTCATATTTTTACTATATTTTATTAATAAATTTGTTTTAGCATTGCATTTTTTATTATTACTATATATAATAATAATAATAATTAAAAATAATACAATACAAAAAAAT